CCAAGCAAGCGCAAGCCAAGCGGGCTCCTCTAAGTTAGCAAGCAAGCGAACATATAAGCCTCGCGCTTGCTTGCTTGCTTGTTCCCAAGTATGTTAATTAGTATACATATTGCCATGTCCCATCGCTACTAGGGCTGCAGACAATGGAACAACAAATCTCTCAAACTCAAAGCTACTATCATCCTGTACCCACCCGTGCGAAAGACTTCTAGGAAGCAGTATTATGAAATTCAACTTCCATCGAAGTTCCAGCTTCATTTTTTAACCTGCGCTTCGCCAACTCGCATTGCATTTGTCAAGTCGGACGGCTGAATCTGACCAAAATTATACCTGATTAAGGCTCTATGATTACTTGGCACGTAGTTAGATCTTTCACGTATTGTATTCTATAGGAGCCCTTAAGTCAGACATCTTGTTATCATACATCAACCAAAATGTAGATGAACCAACCTTTCGAAACTTTACTGCTTAATCTTCAAGAGTGAGTATCGCATTGTTTTGATTATCCAAGCAATTACGTCTCCTTTAACACCTCGAAGGTATTATGACTCCCCAACGCTGTCCGATGGCACTATAAAATGTGCCGGAAAGGAGTTTCGAATCCATAAAATTGTGCTCTCTGCCCAATCGAAGTTTTTCTCGAATGCTTTCCAAGGGAAGTGGAAGGTACGTGTTATGACTATCGGAAGGACGTTCTGACAATGCGATTGTAGGAGTCAGTGGAGGGAATCGTCCCTCTAAATGATGACGATGTCTCCGCTGTCGAAGCGATGCTTCGGTTCTTGTACTCATTTGACTATGATGCTGGCGGGAGCGTGGCCGATGTTGCTTCACCGATGGTATTCAAAGTCAAAGTGTACAGCATAGCAGACAAGTATGATATTCCAGCGTTGAAGTCGGTTGCTAGCCAAAAATTCAAGGAATCGGTCAAAACCTGCTGGAACATGGACGACTTCCCGCACGCTGTTGCGGAAGTATATAGCTCTACCCCACCAAACGACCAAGCGCTCCGAAAGCTGATAGTCGATGTCGCATGCGAGCACATTACAGAGCTCTTGCAGAAGCAGGGGTTTTGCGACATATTGGGAGAAACTGTTGGCTTCGCTTCAGATTTAGTTCAGCTCCAGGCAGGCAAAAAGAGTTTGGATAAAAAGCAGGACCGAACTAAGTACAGATGTCCGAATTCCTCCGAACATTGGGATGCTATTACGTCTTCTAGATCCAGCTATCATTGTCCTCATTGTGGGAATCACCGCTCTAACTGGAGGTCATACATTGTAGATAACTAGTATGAAGGTATCTTGAGGCAACGGGCTCCCGTATCTTCAAACTGAACTTTCTATTACAGACACAGTATTGTTCTATCATTACTGGGTTGGTTTATTTTTTCTAGGAGAGAAGGAGGCGTTGGCTCCATTCAGCTCTATTCGAAGGCTATGACTCACTCGTCCTCTACTAGTTATAACTAGTTGCCAGAAATTGATACATATCAACCAGGATGTATCGATGCCTACACACAACCGTGCCCGGAGCAAACATATCAATTAGGAGCCTTCGTTAATGAATAACAATGCCAACCTGATGTGGGTATTGCGACAGTTCATGTTCGCAAATAGTCGAATAACTACAGATAAGCTTC